CTGCACCGTGAAACTCTCGGTTCCCAGCCTCTTTTCCACGGTCCCCCAGGTCCCTGGGAGACTGGGTCACAGGGTCCTTCTATGTATAAAGAGCGACCCCTTGCCTACAGGGCCCGGAAGTCCTCTCCGCACAGCAGCCTCCACTTACTGTCAGCTCAGTTCCGCTGCCCTCTTCCCTCTGCCTCTTTCCCCCCAGAGACAGGTTTATTCAGGAAATCAGACACACGGCCAAGGAGAATCGCCGGCTTCTCAGGGAGAAGTCTTGGGGTGAAACAAGGTGTACACACCTGAAGGAGAGCGGGGGCCGTCCAGAGGGAAGAGAGCCCCTTCCCTGCGTCTCAGTGGCCTCCTTCCCACCCACCCAGCTCTGCAGCAGGCACCCCCTTGAGGAGGGTGCGGTGAAGCCATGCTCGGGCTTCCCTCGGCCGGCCGCCTGCCCGCCCCGCCTGCCTGCTGAATGTACCCGAGGACTCTGGGAAAGAGCCACCCAGACCCCACAGCCTCTTCCAGCCCGCAGCCCTGGGAAGAGCGTGGGCAGGAGGGAAAGGCACCAGGTCAGAGGAAGGCCCCTGCCCAGGCCCAGCCGAGGGAGAGGAAGGCCCCTGCCCTTCACGCCAGGCCTGGGTTTGGGGAGGAGGGAGACACACTGGGCCTCRCCACCCCTCCTTCATTCCCCACCCCCAAGGCCCAGAAGGACTCAGAGAGGGCAGGTGGGCGCAGAGCCCGCAGCGGCCAGCAGACCGCCTTCTCCAGGGAAAGCGGAGGGAGGCCCCAGCTCACCCTCCCAGGAAGAGGGGCCCACTTCTCCCCAGGGGGGTCCCCTCCAGGCTTCTTGAACAGGAGCTGAAGGTCTCAGGGCAGGACTCAGGCTACGGGGCGGGTGTCCTGCAGCCGGGCACTGGGTCCCCCTCCCTGCCTCCCAGCAAGGCGGTGAGCTCGCCAGCCCAGGGTGCCCCACTAGCTGGGGACGGGGCCTGAAGACCGGGAGGGCAAAATCCTCCTGCCCTGCTCTGTGGCAAGTAAGGACCTCAGCAGCTCTTGGGGCATCTCCAGGGACAACAGTGGCAGGCAGGGGACAGAGCCCGCTGGTCCACCTCTGCTCATGACTCACCCTGGGCTTTGGCAGTCTCCCTCCCTCCTCACCTTCCTGGCCCCTTTCCCTCCATCCTGTGGGGGGGGGGCACCGCCAAGGCGCAGACTCCTTGGGGGCAGGATGCCAAGCAGCTGCCCAGTACAGGGACCACTGGCCTGGGGTGGGGTGGGGGGTCCTGGTGGAACTGGACTGGAGGGGCAAGCTGACTAAACCCAGGTGGCAGAGCTCCCCGGTGGGGAGGGCARGCCAGCAGGATCTGAGGCCAGCAGGAGGGTCTGGCAAGACCCCGCAGATGGAGGGGCCGAGAGACGGTGATGAAAGGGCCCTTCATAACTTGCCTTGCACAGGAAACCACCAGAGTGGGGTAGGGAAATTGCAGGACCTGCGGCCCTCAGGGCTGGCCAAACCCAGCAATGGGGGACGTGGCTTCAGGTTGGAGATGGCCTGGGGAACAGCTGAGCCCTCCCACTCAGTGACCTCCCGCTGTGCATGGGGCCGGGCAGGGCAGCTGGTTTTAAGGTCCTCCTGCTCCTACCAACTGTCCAGCCAGCCGGTCCTGCAGCGCCCCCTGCTGTCCGAGCCGCTGGASTTGGGCTCAGGACACAGTGAGGGGCTTGAGCCTCTCTCATTGAGGAGGGCAGGGCAGGCTGGGGTGGTGGCAAGATTTCCTAGACTCCCCGTCCAAAGACTGTCCCAGGGGACATCCACAGCCTGGCTGCCCAAGGGGCTCAGTGTCCCATATAGAAACTAGTTTTCTGGGGAACTCCTTCCCTGGGCCAGGGGTGCTGGAGAGACTTGGCAAGGCCTCTCCAGAAGCCTGTCTCCCTGTTCCCGTCACGCCCCTGCCACGGGTAGGCCATTGCCTGGGTGCARGCAAGAGGAAGAGAGACCTGAGCTGGTACCCTTGTCCTGTTCTGTCACAGGTGCCCTCCACATGGTTAGGATGCAGCACGTGGCCCTCACCAGTGCCGAGCAGATGCTCTCCAGCACTGTAAGCCAAATAAACCTCTGTTCTTTATAAATTTCCCAGTCTCCAGTATTTTGTTATAACAGCAGAAAACAGACTAAGARAGGCCCCAAAATAAAAACTTTGGAAGGGGGAAGAGTAGTAGGGGGCCCTCAGGGGAAAAACTGAGTTGGAGTTGAGAGGGGGAGAGGCTACACCTGGGGCAGGGGGAGTGAGAACATCATGTGTAAGCAGGCTGGGTATCTTGACGTTCATTCCAAGGAACAAAAGAAGTCTGCTCGGAGGAAGGCTGTGACAGTGRCCCAGGGGACTCTGTCATCATGGGATCCAGCCCAGAATGAGGAACACTGCTGGAGGTGGAAGCAACAAAGAGAACCCAGAAGCTCTGGCGAGCCTGAGAGTAAGTAAGAATGGTAGCGGGAAATGGGGGCTGGCAACCCAGCCGCGGCTACGTCCAGCTACTGGGAAGTCCAAGGCAGGAGGATGGCTGGAGCCCAGGAGTTCAAGGCCAGCTCCAGCAACATGGTAAGACCCTGTCTGTTAGAAAGACAGAGAGGTGGGGAGGAAGACAGGAAGAAAAAGAATACTCTCAGACTGGAATTTAAGATCTATATCAGCCTCTGGCACGTGACTAAGAAAAGAACCACTCTCAGATGCTGCAGTGAGGTCTTCCAAACCTTCGAGGGCTTTGAAGCATTCGTGAAGAAAGGAGAAATCATGTTTAAAGACCCAAGACTGCCTTCGAATCCCTGGACAGCAACCAGGGAGAAGAGGAAGGCCAGGGACAGTCCATGGAAAGTGACGGGAAGGTTCCTTTCATCAAAGACTGGATACTCAGGCAAAAATATCCATAGCGTTATGGATGGGGGGGGGCATTCATATGCTGAAGGCCTAACTCTCGGTGACAGTATCTCAAAATGTGACAGTATTAGGTGATAGTCCCCCTGAGAGGTAGTTAAGTTAAAACGAAAGCTATTAGGTTGGAGCTAATCCAGCATGTACTGGGGGTTGAACCCAGGGGTGCTTTACCACATCCCCGCATAGCCATATCCCTGGCCCATTTTACTTGGAGACAGAGTCTYRCTAAGTTGYTTAGGGCCTTAGTAAGTTGCTGAGGCTGACCTTAAACTTGCAATCCTCCTGCCTCAGCTTCCCAAGCTGCTGGGGTTACAGGTGTGCACCACCTAACCCAGCTGACTGGTGTCCTTATAAGAAGAGGTTAGGACACACGGAGAGACACCAGAGGTCTGGGTGCACAGAGGAAAGACCCRATGAGGACACAGTGACAAGGCGGCCCACTGCAGGCAAGCCAAGGAGAACGGAGGGACCTGGCCCGTTCACACCTTCATCTTAGACTTCTGTCCCCCAGACCTGTGAGAAAATGCATTTGTATTGTTTAAGCCACCCAGTCTGTAGGACTTCGTTACAGCAGCCCGAGAAAGCCGACTCGCAGCTGGGCGCCGGGGTGGCGCACCTGTAATCCCAGCTGCTGGGAGGCCAAGGCTGAAGGATCACAGTTCAAGGCTAGCCTTGGCAACTTACCAAGATCCTGCCTCAAAATAAAAAGGGCTGGGGGTGTAGCTCAGTGGTAGAATGTGACACCCAACACCACGCACACTGACACACACACACATGCACACACACACACACACACACACACAGGAAATGAACATGCATGGAGTCCAGAAAATAATTCTTCAAGCAAAATCAGCAAAAATCATATATAGGCTTGGGAAGAATTGAGAGACATGTGACAGATGACCATCCCTAAATGCTAACAGAGGGATAATGATAGACTAAGTCAATGTGGAGACAGGAACAGGGACACTGTGGCCGAGGCACCCCCACCCCGGTGGTCTTGCCTGTCTACCCAGCCCCTAGCAGCCTACCCTGCCTACTCCTCCCCGTCTTCACGTGCCAGGACTGCACCAAGACCAGAGATGGTCTCACCAGTAGAGGTCAGGTCACATTCTTGGGAATGACATCTCGGTTTTCAGAGCTTTTTGGAGCTGAGTACGGTGGCTAAGGGACTGGGCACCTGCCCACCTTGTTTCCAGGGGTGGCCCTAACTCCCTTTCTGGATGTCCCTGCTCTGGGGAGAAGCAGACAGGGAGGCGGGGAGCTGAGCATTCATTCTGCACCAGTCCTGGGCCCGGGGCACATCAGCTCTCCCTCCCAGGTCACCCGCTGAGGGCTGGGCGGGCTTGAGGCTGGGCCTGAACCTCCCGTTCAGGGGAAAGGTCAGCTCAGGCTGATGGGGAAGCAGAAAGGGGTGCAGCTGAGCCGGCTAATGTGTTTACCCAAGGCTTGGGGCAGGTGGGAGTTCCATCTGCCACGCTCCCCCGCTCTCCCAGCTGCCTTCCCAGGCTCGCAGCTCAGAGGCCGGGCCAGGGCCAGGCAGAGCCCCTCCCAGCCCACGAGGTCAGCCACCTCCTTCCTGCCTTTGCTGGAGGTAGGACCTTCCCATAGAGGAGTGGGCTTTGGGGAGGGGGCACCTCCAGCTAAGTGCCTCCTTCCTGAGCTCCTGGAGCCCAGGGTGGAGAGGCTACTCCTCTCTCCTCCATGGCAACAACAAAAACCTCAGCCCCAGAGCCTCCTCTGGGCCCCCGAGTCTGATCTGGCTCTCAGCGTGGAGTCATGCAGAATCAAAGCAGGGTGTTTGATACCTAGAGGCTGTGCCCCAGGGATGGCTGGGATGGTCTGGGGGCATCCAGTATGCTTTCACACCACCCCCTTCCAGCATGCACTGGGGACTTCTCTTTCCTGAGTAGCTCCCCCTCCATTGCTCAGTCAGGTTGGAAAGGCCTGGAATCCTGCAGATTGTCTTCCTTCTCAAACGCGGTGTTGGCAAGGGGTGGGGGGGCGTGAGAATCTCAGTTCAGGAAAGTTGGGAGGCCCGCTCCAGGAAGGGGACAGGCCGGAGACGACTCACACCTTCCTCTACAACCCCGCCCCTTTGGGGAGTTCTGGGGGCCTCAGCACAGGCTCCCCCACCATGCCCTCTGGCTGTGACCCCAGGGTGCAGGGCAGGTGGGCATCATGGATGACCTGCTGGACAGTGGCCCGGAAAGTCTTGCTGACAAAGCAGTAGAGGCCAAAGTTGACTGCTGTGTTGAGCATGGCCACCATGTTGGCCACATCCAGGGCCAGGTGGACCCTCCAGTCCCGGTGGACGGGGGCCACATACAGGTGGTAGAGCATGACGAAGATCCGGGGTGCCCACAGAAGGGCAAAGAGCAAGGTGACCCCCAGGAGGATGGCTGTGCTCTTACCCACCCAGGGCTGCAGCCCGCTCCGTCCCCTCTTCCGCAGCTGGAGGACGATGGCTGAGTTGCTGACCAGGAAAACGCTGCAGGGGATGAAGAAGACGATGAGGCAGTGGGCCCACTTGAGGACCTCGTCCAGCGTGCCGGGGGGGCTCGTGTCCCTCCACACATCCAGCCACCAGTAGAAGGGGACGCCAGTCAGCAGGGCAGCGCTGAGGACAGCGGCAATAGCCCTGCGGGTCCTGCCTGGGGACGAGGTGGCCCGATGGCGCAGGGGGTGGCACAGGGCGTTATAGCGGTCAACGGTCAGCAGGACGGTGACCCAGACGGAGGCATGGTTGGCGGCAAACTCCAGGACGTTAGCCACGCGCACCACGGCCTGGGGCACCTGGCGGGCCAGGAGCGCGCCCTGCAGGAGGAAGCCCACGAAGACGATGACCACCTGGGTGGTGATGTCGGAGCCCGTGAGCGCCAGGAGGTAGTAGTAGGAGGGCTTCCTGGTCTTGGCGGCGAGGYGGGCCAGGGCCACTGAGGTCAGGAGGTTGGCTGATGGCGGGCGAGTTGGCGGAGTGCAAGGTCACGGAGAGAGGGGCCAGCCGGGGTAGAGGGGAAGGAAGCTCAGAGTCTGCTTTCCCCAGGGTTTCACCACCCCTCCCCACCTGCCAGGGCTGCGGCCAGTTCTGGCTTCTCATGGCTTTCTAGATCCTTCCCCAAACCCACTTTGCCAGCCAGGGATGTAGCTCCATGGAAGAGCTCTCGCCTAGCATGCCCACCGAGGTCCCGGGTCCCAGCCCCAGCCCTGAAAAATCAAAACAAAAACTGCACTTTGTCAGCCCTTCCCCGTCCTTCCACACCCCAGGCCAGGGACCACCGGGTCACACGTGGGTGAACACCCAGGCAGGTGGCCATCTGTGGTCCTGCGGAATTCCCCCCACCACGTCCTTCTCAGGGATTCTGTGTCCTCTGGGGCAGAGGCGTCCCCAGACAAGATGTGGTTAATTTACCAGGCTTGGGGTATCCCCCAGGCAAGACCACCTGCCCTGTGCTCTGTGCAGCCCCCACCCCAGGCACACACTGCCTCTAGGAAAGGGTGCAGTCCCTGGGAGAGGGTCAGCTTTGCGCATGCGGAATCCCTGCCCCTCACTTTCCCTCCCTTGTATGCCTTGCTCCCAGGTGACCCAGAACCCAGACCCCCCACCAAGGCAAGAGGAGACCTGCGGTCTGTGACCCTGGGTCTCAGGGGCCAGCACAGAGGACTGGCTCCCACTGAAGGAGGACCCCAGTTTCTGGCCATGTCTAAGACCCCAGCCCCAGGCCCCACTCACCAGGCAGCCCCAAGCTCAGCAGAACACTGTAGTAGATRACAGGAATGACTCCGACCACGCACGGTGACTTCTCTGGGATCTCTGGCCAGTGGCCTTCCCACTCCTGGCCCGGCCCACTACCATTGGGTGTGGGCAGCAGGGTTGCTCTCGGCTGGCCTGCTGGGGAGGGTGGAAGGGCAGGGTTAGAGCATTTGTTCCCGTTCCCACTTGGGCCACCAGCAGCCCCAGCCCCACTCAGGTCTTTCTGTTGAGCCCTGCGTCTCTGTTGCCACGACCATTCCACCCCTGCCCTGTCCCACCTCCACTCTGGCCCTGATCCCTACTGATGGGAAGAAGTCTTGGCAGCGGGGACTGCGGGGTGCTGTCGGGGAGCTTCATCCTCCAGAGCTGGGAGGCAGATGGAGCGTCAGGATCACTGAGCACACTGTGGACGCACAGGGTCTGGGGCAGGTGGAGCAGCTGCACCTTAATCAGCAGGCTGAGTGGCTGGCCCTGGTGGCACCCGGCAGCTGCACAGCTCACTCAACAGCCGCCCCCTCTCCAAGGAGAGACTGTTACCAGGCTCCCCTCTTTCCTAAGCCAAAGAGCGTCGCTCTTCCCAGGTCAGCAGCACCGAAGCTGGAGCRGCTCTGGTAGACAGATGGGGAAACTGAGTCCCCAGGGGTAAGGTGACCAAGTTGGCCTGAAGTCAGTGTGGAATGAGGGCCCTCCACCTGCTCTGGCCCCTCGTCCCCTCAAACCACATTTTAAGTCTCTTTAGGTTTTAACGTCCAGTCTCCCATTTCCTGCTGAAGACGGTGGGGGACCCCCCAGCTAAACCTCGTTCCCCCCCTCACTGCCCACTCATATGAGCTTCCACTGCCCCACCCCAGCCTCAGGGTCCCTCACCTGCCCTCCGCCTTCCACCCCTCAACCATGTACCTGTCTCTGGTTCCTCAAGTCCCATGCTCCAGGATCCCAGCCCCCGGGTYACCGGGGGCTTTTCCTGGGGAGTCTCCACAGCTCCCTGCCCGCATCACCCGCTGTCCCCTTCAGCCCAGCTCTCCAGCAGTGTTGGCCCCAGGGTTCCTCCAGCTCTTCCAGCGGCTGGAGCCTGTCAGCCTGCGGAGTGGGGGTGGCGGGAGGAGGGAGGAGGGAGGAGGGAGGAGGAGGCAGGGGTGGGGCGAAGCCCAGGGCAGCTTAGTGGATCCCACGGGAGCACGGCAGGGTCTCCCGCAGTGCACAGGCAGGGAAGGGAGCCCGCTGGGTGGGGGGTAAAGAGGGCAAGCCTGGCACCCGAATGGGGTATGGATCGTTTAGGAAAGGGAAGGAATCTGCAGGAAGGAGGATCTGGTCCTGGACTGGCTGCCTCGTGCTCCAGGGCAGACCGGCCCCACCAAGGAGGTGAGGACTGTGGGGGAGGTGAAGGACCCAGGCCACGGAAAGGCCCTTGTGGGCAGCCAGGAGAGCACTCCTGCTGAGGAGCTGGGGAGCAGTGCCGGGTGGGGGTGGCAGAGCTCAGATCCCCTGAGAGTCCCAGGGACCAAGTTCATGGGGGTCAGACGGCAGTGTGAGCAGAGGCTGGGCTGGGGTGCAGGATGCYCCAGGGACCAGGAGGGAGGGAGGACAGGAAGCAGTGTGCAGGGGTGGCCGCCCTGGGAGAAGCCTGGCCAGGCTGCCGGCGGTGCTGGGAAACCAAGGACGGTGGCCCTGCAGGCTACTGTCTTCCTGCCCCAGTGGAATGGAGAATATCAGGAAACAGCAGCCAGCGCTGGTGACTCTGCATCTGCAAGCTCCCTCACCTGGGAAAGGGTGACCAGGGCAGCCCACTATGGACACCAGGACACGGCATCCAGGGAACTCCAGGGGAGCAGAGCTGAGACCCAGCCTGCGTCCCTTTTCACATCCAGGGAATGTTGGGGCATCCCCCGGCTCCTGAGTCAGATCCYGCGTCTCTGGGCTGCAGCGAACCTATCCTGACCCCGACGCCCGCCCTGGTGCTCACAGCCAAGGCCTTGCTGCCTCCTGGTGGCCACACCCTGATCCTGCAAGTCTCGGAGACCCAGCTGGCTTGGGCCAGGCATGCTGGCTGGCCGAGGCCAGGTCCAGGGGGCAGTGTTGGAACCCCAGCCCCAGAAAGGACAAGTAGGACAGACAGCTCCTCCCGTCCACCACCTCCCTGCCCACGAGGCCACAAGTGAGTAGAGGCACTGACCCTGCTTCAAGGAGTGGGAAAGACCAACCCAGTTGGAGGGCAAGGAGGTTACCGGATTTACCCAAGAGGAGACTGAGGCTCAGAGAAGTTAAGCAACAGGCCAGGGTCACAGAGCTGGCATACAGCAGTAGCAGGATTTGAACTCGGGTTTGTTCTTCCCTCTGCCTTCTCCAGGGCTATTTGCTTTTTCCTGCTCACACAACCGTCTTGGGAAATGAGAGACCATGTAGACTCAAGCTTCATGGAGGAGGCCAGCATGGATCAGAGGACAGGGCTCGGAGCCGGAGGACACCCTCTTGGGGGAACAGCTTCCAACAGCTTGGGAGTTACTTCAGGGAAAGATTCCTCCCGGTAGATCAGGTAGGGTGCCCCTGGATACATGGGGCCTGGAGTCCCTCTTTCCAAGCGAAGCATCCAACTCGCTCCTGGAACCCTAACCCAGGACAGGGACATTACAGATGTAAGGGAGGCTGTGGGTCAGGGCAGGGCTTCATGTTCCTGCAGCCCAGGGCCCCGTCACCCCCTGTGCAGACCCAGAACGCCTCCTCCTGTCCCAGGCTTATGAACATTTCCAGTTGTTTCTATGGGACTGGAGACACCTTGTCCAAGGGGGACCCTTTCATCAGGACTGAAATACCACCCAGAAAAGAAGGTATGGGTTTGTGCAAAGCCAAGCCAAGCAGAACTTGGTGACACTTGAATCCTGGATCTACTAGCTCCTGCTGAGTTCAGAGGAGTCACTTAGGTTAGACAAGACAAGAAGACACACTAGTCTCAGGGAACTTTATTTTTCCTGCTTTTTGGTACTGGGGGTTGAACCCAGGGGTGCTTTACCACCAAGCTACATCCCCAGCCCTTTTTATTTTTTTATTTTTAGACAGGGTCTCACTAAGTTGCAGAGAGTCTCCCTAAGGAGCTGAGGCTGGCTTTGGAACTTGCAATCCTCCTGCCTCAGCCTCCTGAGTCACTGGTATTAGAGATGTGGGCCACCACGCCTGGTTCCCCTTCACACTTAAAATGCCACCCATCTACCTCAAATAGCTAGGTAGGTTTTAGCTTGTGCAGAGTGATCATCTGGGGTATTTAGTCCAGGCCTGCTCCTGGGAATTTCTCTCTAGATGAGCACCAGAAACTCCAGAGCAGGTAAGCTACTCCTCAAGAGTGACTGGCAGCTGGTGTTCAGAGATGTGTCTCCTGAGGGACTGTTTGCTGGGCGTTGGGGTCTCTGATCAGCTGCGCTCCCACTGGCCAGTGCTATGTGCAGAAGCTGGGGTGCCTCTGGGGCCTGAGCTGCCCTGTTGCACAGAGGCTCTGACTCGCTGGGTTGAGCCAGGACCTGGTGCAGCCCACAGGAAGGGCAGGCGGGCAGCCAGTGGGCAAGGGATGGTGGATCTGGAGGAGGGGGTCAGGCGTGAGAGTGGGGGCAGCTGGGAGGGGTTTCCGCTGAGCAGGACAGCTCTGCCTCTGCCAACCCGGATGAAGCTGGTGCCAGACCCAATTCTTGCTTTCTTTGTGGCTCCCGAGAGGGAGGGAGTGGGCTGTTGGGTCTCTGTGCACCGGCGGGGGCAGAAATCAATGCATCAAGCAGAGCCCTGGGATCCAGAGAGCATGGGCAGGGACTCTCCAGCCCGTCCTTAATCCAGGACCCGGCCTCGCCTCAGAGGAACTCGGTGGGATTTCCTGGGAGCCCCCCACTTCTGTTCATCAACCTCAGTGAAGTCCCTCCCTGGAGGAGCTGGGGCAGGTCCTGCTCCCTCCATGCAAAGGTGAGGCCTGGCTAGCGCCGCCCGCACTCGCTCACTGGCTCTGACGGCCCCTCTCCATTGCCTCTTTCTAGAAGAGMAGCCCCTGCACTTCCTTGCTCTCCGCCTCAGTTTCCCTGCGGTGGCCTGGGGCACTGCGTGTCTCCTTGGAATGTGGGGAAGGGAGACATGGCAGCTGGAAACTAGAAACTGGTGGAAGAAGGCTTCAAGAAGGAATCCTGAGAGCGGGCTGCGCGGGGAGGAGGACTGAAGAAAGAAAGAAGAGGGGTGGACGGGCGCCCGCCCTGGGAGGGGCCCAGCCCTGCGCCGGGCAGGGGTGCTCCTCAGGCGCTAYAGCACGGAGGAGGGTGTGTGGCTCTATGCCAGCCCTGCTACCGGGGCTCACTGTGACCCTGGTGGGGGGGGTGGACACCGTCCCTAGGGAGGATCTCTCCTATAGGCCCACTCCAGAGCAAGCCAGCAACTTTTTCCAACAAAGAACAAGAGAATGATCCCAGTTACCCCAGGGACCCCTCCTGGAGAGTCTTGTCCTTCTCTCTGGAGAGCCAGCCCACCCCAGGTGGGAGCAGGGGACGGGAGCCTGAGCCACCTCTTCTCCAGCCTTCCCTTTGCTGTCCGCTGGTCACGGTGCCTCAGCGGGTGCTGCCAAGCGTGCCCTGTGCCAGGGTGGAGGCTGGGCCTGGGGGTTGGGACAGAGGCTGGGGACCCTGGGGCTGGTGGCTGCCCGTGGTCTCGGAGCTCCTCGCTGGCCCTTCAGGAGGCCTAAAACTTTCTGGGAGAAGAAGGGCCAGCCTGGCCGGGTCATGAGGAGAAGTGGGGGAGGGGGGTCCGGATCTGTTCCCCTGGGGGGCCCAGGGCAGCACAATAGTCCCTGTGGCTGCCACTCTCTGGCTTAAGTGGTTGCCTGGGCAACAGCAGGGGCCAGTTTCCACCAATCCATGGCAGAAGCTGGGTGGGGGGAGGGAGGCCAGGCAGAAAGGGGGGTGTTGTGCCCCCGTGCTGGATCCTATATAAGGAGGAGGGATGCAATTGATCAGAGTGGCTTGGACTTCGGTGTCCCTCCAGTGGAACCAGGGGYGGAGCACAGAAATGTCTAGGATAGGCCCCTGCCAGTCTGGGTCCTGGGGCAGCTTCTGGACCATGCTGACCTTGCTGGGCCTGGCCACTCATGCAGGTGAGGGGGCAGGGGGTGGGTGGGGGTGGGCCAGGGTGCAGGGACAGGCCCTTCTGACCCTAACTGCTAGCAGCTGCCCAGGAGTGGGGGTGTCTGGCCATTCAGGATGGACTGGACAGGGTCCGCAGACACCTCCCAGGAGGGAGAAGGGCAGCCAGCCTTAGAGAGAAGGGGCTGGGCAGCAGGCAGGGGTCTTAAGGACAAAAAGACCCTCCCTTRTTCATTGTCCCAGGCAGCTGGGCCTGGGCAGAGGCTGAATGGGGACGCCATTAGCATTCCGGCCCCTCAGAGTGACAGCTGGGGAGGCGGGGCTGGGAAATGCACGCCCACTTCTCTCCCTGGYTTCCTCGGGGCCTCTCACACAGAGATGCTCCAGTCTGGGTGAGCCTTCTCCCCACGAGTGCCCGGGYGCCACAGCCCGGGTGTGCGTGTGCCGGGGCCATCTGCTGCTGCCAGTCACCCTCCTGGCTCCTTCTGCCAGCCTCCTTGTGCCGCTCTCAGCTGGGGGAGGCTGCCAGCAGCGTCCCGTCAATGGGCTCTCTGTAACTGAGGGCAGGTCTCCATCCCAGCGTCCATGGGAGCAAGACAGGAGGAGCCCAGGGGCCAGCCTGAAGGGGGTGCCGGCCTCGACACCAGTGACCCACAGGGCCCTGCCCAGATCTAGCCGGCCCCTGGGACTTTCTCCTGTCTCCCTCTGCCTCACAGATCATAACTCCAGGGCAGGGCCAGGCTCGAAACGCTTTCCCTCCTGGCCRGCTGCAGGGGCTCTGGCTCGACCCCTCCTCCCACTCACCGTCCCCTGCACTCCTGGCACCACGGGAGTCGGCTTCCTTTATCCACTGCCGCAGTCCAAGCTCTTGGGAGAGTGCCTGGCACATAATATGT